TTAAAATCAAATCTGATATTGTTTTACCTTTTATTTGGTGTGTGGAAGGTGTGCGGAAGAGGGGGTAGTCTTATACGGCGAGTATATAACAAACTCTGTATTTTGAGTGGAAATGTTAGGGGGTCGTCTTATACGCCCAGTCGTCTTATACGCCGGCAAATACGGTATATATTTTTTAAAAAAACACATAAGACTCAAGGCTGGAGGCAGGGGTCTGTCCTTCTGAACCAGGTTAGGAATTCGGCTCAAAGGAGGCCTGCTGGCACGTGTTCTAGTTCACCGAGCCTGGCTAGGATTTCACTGAGTCAGGACATGCGCCCTGGTTTCAGAGATATTAAAATGTGGGAAAACAAACACATGGCCAATGATAATCCAAGAGGATGCCATCAATGGCAAGACACATCTCAGCTCCATGCATGTTAAAAATGGGGAAATGTGCAACTCACAAGTGATGAAATATTACAACACAGTCTCAGTGGCCCCTCGGCCGAGCCATTAATCTGGTCACCTAGGCTCACCCTTCCCCTAACTCCCCTCCCCTGAGGGTCTTCCTGCCAGAAGCTGGCTCAGGAAATGGCAGTTCATTCGAATAGGAATAGGAAGTTTCCACAGTCAGTGCCTATCTTCATACAAACATACTGCAAGGAGAAAAAGAGAAACTAAAAGAGGAGCCAAATTTCACCAAGTCGCCACAAACAAAGGAAAATTACCGCCCAACACCAACAGCCCAGTGTACAATTTAAAGCGCAAGGCAGCAAATGCAGCTGGGAAGGAAGAACACAGAGCAAACATGTGGGAGGAAGAGGGCCAGGAGAAGAGAAACAGGAGTTGGTAGGATTCAGGGAAGAAATAGGAGAGGAAGACAAAAGCATGCAGAAATGCAGGCAGTTATAAGGAATGAACATGACAAGGCTCAACATAATCACACTTCTAAAAGAAGAATAGCAGTGGACTGTACATAAAAGTATGCATACACGTGTTTTTTTAAATGGAGGCTGAGTAGGAAATTAAGTTACTGCGAATTGGAAATTAACTCCCCCAATCCACCCTCATCCTCACCCCACCTGCAAAAGCAGCGTTGCCAGTTATGCTAAAGTGGTGGAGGACTGTCCGGCCTGTGTGGCTCAGCGCTTGAGCACCGACCTATGAACCTGGAGGTCACGGTTTGATTCCCGGTCAGGGCACGTGCCCAGGTTGTGGGCTCAATCCTGGTAGGGGATGTGCAGGAGGCAGCCAATCAGTGGTTCTCTCTCTTCGTGGATGTTTCTCTCTCTCTCTCTCTCTCACTCTCTCTCTCTCTCTCTCTCTCTCTCTCT